AACTATAGTTTGGTTATCCTTCGACCCTGAATATAATTGGTACTGGAGATTTTAATTTTACTCACTCTGCATTTAGAAAATTTGTTAACTACTATTTATTAGTTATAATATGATAAACAAAATAGAGGATTTTGCCCCACCTCTTTTTTGCCACATTAATTGGAGGACCATTATCTTCTAAAGGCATGTATTTCTTAAGCCCATTTCTTCATTTCACCTGTGAAAACAGTAGATTTTTTTTCTAGTTTGTAATGAATAGTTAGTGAAATAAACACGGTATGGTACCTTATTATCCTGTTACCTTGTGACAGCATTTATAGGGTGTCTTTTATCAGATTGAAAGAAAAGATTTTGCTTCAAATAAAAAAGTATCATATGAAAGTGGAATTTCTGAGTAGAGTGCAGAACCGTAATTGTCAACAGATTGGATATGTTCAGGCTGTGTTCCCAGTGTTTAAGTCATGTGTGGGTGTGCCTGCATCTTTTCGGCAGTGAGCCTATCATTTGGCAGGACAGGTACATTGGCAACACTGTTCATTCTAAAAGTCAATGTCTCAAAAGCCTCAGCCAGATATCCAAGTAGAGGCCTGGTGACTTCGTGCCTCAAGTTTAAGTACATAAAAAAGATTCCCCCTGTAATGACTGTGTACTTGAACTTGATAATGCTGATAAAGATGATCTCTCTATCATGTAATCAGCTGCATTGAAAAAAATCTTCATACGTCCTAAAATTGATCGGCGTCTACATCATCCCATTGCCTGGGATGTAGCATGACAATCAGATGCTGCTGAATGAAGGCACAAATGTCAGAGCTAAAGGAGACCTCAAAGATCATAAAGTACAACTCCCTCATTTTCTTAAGCCTTTCTGTATCAGTGGGCAGCGTCTGAAGTGCTCACCATAGAGCTTGGCACCAGGAAGCTCTCAACCAATGTTCACTATTATTGTTACTACTTGAGGTCACATAGTTAGGTTTTGGCGGGACCAGGAGCAGAACCATAGTTCCAAGGTGCCATCCGCTGCTCACCCTGGCCCATTTTTCATCATGCATATCACCATCTTATGTAATCTAATGTATTTGTTGGTTTACTTGTTGTCTGTGTTCCGCCACAGAATATAAGCTCCATGAGAGCGGGGACTTTGTCACCTGGTTCAGTCTGCATCCAGAGCATGGCATATAGGAAGAGCTCAGTAAGTAGTTGTTGAATAAAATAATAAATAAATTTAGAGGCCTGCAGGTAAACATGTTGCAGATTTGAGAAGGGAAAGGAAAAAAAATTAACGCTTATGGAACACCTGCTTTTTAAGATGATTTACATACATATGTTAGCTCATGCTCACAACAGCCTAGTGTAGAGGAAAGCACTGTTCTTCCCATGTAATGGTGAAGAATGTGGGGCGCAGAAGTTCTGGTAACTCAGATCTGTCTGACTTCAAAGCTCCTGCTATTTTCACTACTACAATGCCTCCCAATTAGGTCAGATCTAAGAATTTTCGTGAAAAGTACCTTCATTCTAAATGTTGGATGGTCCCATGTTTATTTTTTCATAATTTTTCGAAAAACTTTCCTTTAAATCTAATCCCTGAGGAAAAAAAGAAAAGCATGCTATCTACTAGAGCCCCTGCACACTATAGAAAGGCATCTAGGAGTGGCAGACACAGTCCTTGGTTTGGTGGCAGGGGATGTGGAGCCTTAGGCCCCCCATTGACCACTAGAGGTGTGAGTCTTAGTTCCTCATCTGTAAAATGGTGCCATCAACAGCCGCCTGCCTACCAGACAGAATTGGTAAGGAAAAGATCGTGTATGTAGAGCACCTAGCACTGAACTTCATTAAAGAAAGTGGCCATTAAATGTTAACCACATTATTATTGTTACTAATTCCATTAGTGTTAACAGAACAGCAATCATAACGCATACTTTCCTCAAAAGGGAAATACTTACAACCTTGTGTCTTGTCTGTGATCCTATCTAGGGATGCAGTTAGGGAGCCTGGAGTCATCGGTTGATTCCACCTAAGTCTTTGCTTTAGCTGGGATCCAGATTTTCTGTTCCATATCCTTAGACTGCCATCCAACTTCTGTCAGCCACCTCACCGAAGCCTGTGTTTGGTCAACGAAGGGAGCAGGGCTTGAGAGAGTGGATGGATTAGGTCAACCCAAAACCACTTTTGGAAAAATAACCTAATGGTAGTACCTTTTAATAGTTTTGTAATGCCTTTACGTTTTCTGGATGTTTTTCATATGTATGAGAAAAATAATATATTTTGGGGAGGCAAGTTGATCTGCTTTCTCACAGCTTTGGGACTTACTACATGTCCCTGGGGAAGTTACTTACCTTTGGGTACCTCAGTATCTTCAACTGTGAAATGGAGCAATAACAGTTCACAACGCATAGCGTTCTCATTAAGATTCAGGAGCTAACATATGTGAAGTGCCTAGTACAGTAATTGACACATAGTAAGTGCTCAGTATTAGAAGCTATAATGGAGCACATATTTTCTTTCTCATTTCACTTTTTAAGCGTTCTTGAAGGAAATACCATTTATTAGAATGCAAAGTGTTTTCACATACTTTTTCACATATTCTAATTAATTCTCACCTGAGACTCAAAAGAAGAAACTTGATCAGGGCCATACAGCTACTGAGTGATAGAGCCTAAATGAAAGTCCAGCTTCTGCTTTCTAACCATCTGATTTTCCTAGGAAAATGCCCTGCCCCCATATACCAGTTGACAGTCCTAGAGCTGGTGGTGGTGTCTTCTGGAAATGTACAAGCTGCAGGGAATATGTACCTGCCTCTATTTAAAAGAACTTTTGAGGGGCGCCTGGGTGGCGCAGTCGGTTAAGCGTCCGACTTCAGCCAGGTCACGATCTCGCGGTCCGTGAGTTCGAGCCCCGCGTCAGGCTCTGGGCTGATGGCTCAGAGCCTGGAGCCTGTTTCCGATTCTGTGTCTCCCCCTCTCTCTGCCCCTCCCCTGTTCATGCTGTGTCTCTCTCTGTCCCAAAAATAAATAAACATTGAAAAAAAAAATTAAAAAAAAAATAAAATAAAAGAACTTTTGATATTTAAAAGAAGTGGTATTGCTGCATTTTGTCTAGTATTTGGAATTGTTTAAAATAACACCAAAACGATTCTAGAAGTTTGATTCAGCACAATTACATTCAACTTTATGGAAGAACGTAATTGAGTGAAACTTAGGACACTGAATCACTGACCACTGGGGTTTGTTGGTGTCCGTGCCGTTTTCCAGTTCACTTGGAGATCTTGACTTTGGAGGCCAGTACTCACCAGCAGTTCACGTTTCTATTATGTTTCACAGCTGAAATGTTACTCTAGGCCAGTAATTCTCATACTTTAATGGGCAGGAAAATCACCCTGAGGGCTCATGAAGGCACAGATTGCTGGCCTCATGCCAAAGTTTGAGTCAGTAAATTGAGAAGGGGTCCGATATTTTGCATTTTTTCCCATGTGGCGTTGATATGCTGGTCTAGGTACCACATTTTGAGAAGCAGTGCTCTGGACCAGAAGTTGATGAACTTCTGTAAATGACCAGATAGTAATTATTTTGGGCTTTGTGGGTCATACAGTCTCTGTCACAAGTACTCAACTCTGCCACCGTGGCTCAAAGCAGCCATAGATAATTATAAGCTGTGTTCCAATAAACCTTTATTTATGGGCATTGAAATCTGAATTTCATATGATTTCACATATTAAAAAATATTATTTTCTTATTTCTTTTTAACCATTTAGAAACATAAAAAATCACTTTTAGGTTATGGGCTGTACAAAAACAGGCAGCAGGCCAGATTTGGCCTTCGGGCTATCGTTTGCTGATCCCTGATGTGCAATTGTGATATGTTGGGGAATTTTCAAACTATTGTTTTAATTATAAAAGTAATGCAAGTGGATGGTTTAAAAAGGGGATGGTTAGAAGTATAGAAGAAGATAAAATGAATCAGGAAGTCTTCCTCCCCACCCCCAGCCCCGATCACATGCCCCAAAAATAACCACTGTTGATGAGTATCAATTTTCAGAAATTTTATAGGCATATACAAACTTATATAAATGTATAAATTATTTTTACATCAATGGGCTTTTTATACATATTGTTCAGCATGTGTTTTTTTCCTGACAATGGATGGTGGCTTCTTTACATGTCAACACATAAAAATGATTTAGCTTCTTCTCCAATAGCTTCATAGTTTTCTGTTGCGTAGATATACCATAAAGATTTCCCCAGTCCCCCATTGAGGGGAATTTGTGTTATTTCCCTTTTTTTCTACTACAAAGTGAGGGTCCATCTTCGTATATCCATTATTGCATAATACCTGCAAGGTAAGGTCCTAGGAGATGAACTGCTGAGTCAAAGAATATGTGCATTTAAAATTTTTGATAGATGTTTCTAAATTCCTGTTGTGGGTACTTTCGGATCCTGTGTTCATTTTGTTTCAGGGTTACACCCTACACTTCTGCTATTTAGTCTTTATCTGACTTGAGCATTCATCATAGTGAATTTTGGTATAATGCCTCCCTGCACGTGAACTTAACACAGAGTAGTAATCCTATCAAGGGCAAAAAGTGCAGCTGGCAATTTGTCCATGATTCTTGAAAGGAAAACAGCTTTAAAGAATATAAAGCCACCCAAACAGTGCCCTGAATCTAGGGTCATCCGCACATTTGCTGCATAAGGTACCACAACAGAAATTGTTCTTTTTGCAGACCTGGTACTTAGCAGATGCTTCTATATGTTTGTTTCCCGTTAGAGTGGAGTTTTCCATTGTCAAACATTTATGTAAACATAGTATTAGCTAATAAATATGCTGTGCTATTATTGTACTAGAACTCAGAATACCACTGCTTTCCTTTCTATTTGGGGCTTTTCCTTTTTTGAGCCAGTGAAGGATTAGGATAATGATTTAATAGACAACAAAGCAGCATCTTAACATGTAGCACTATGTTAGGTTTTTTTAACTTAAAATATGCCTATTTCTGCTCATAGGTTATCATAGAATTCTGTCTTCACCACTCAATCATATCTACTTACACAAGCAGTCAAGCAGTCAACAAAGAAGAAATTTCTTTTTCCGGAGACAAAGAGATATTTCACACAGTATAGTTTTGCCGGCCGCAGCTTCTCCAGCCCACCCAGTGCCCGAGGTACTGTATTGCCTATGATCTGCTGCTTTTTCCAGCCAAGATAAAGGTTAACTGCAGAAGCGATCAAATGTGTTTGCACCTTTCATTTCTGAGCCTTTTGAATCCTAATTTTTAAAGTTGGTTTATGATTTAAAATTGTGATTTGAGAAGTTGTAACATCTGCAGTTCTATCACGTTAATTTTTTTTAACTAAACCTCTCATCTTACAGCTGCTTAGATTATTCAGAATTAGTTTCTACCATGAAATTTTCTATATTAAATTTCTAACATGAAGGTAAAATTACGTGTCTATAGTTTCTTAACTTTTTCAGAGAAATAAAAAAATTGGCTGTCAAATTGGGATCATTCAAGAGAGATTACTTGAAGCCAATACACTAGGTGTTTTTTCCTAAAGCCTGCCCTTATACTTTCCATAAGATTAGTGCTGCTGTTTTTGAATCCTCTTTTAGAATAATTAAATAAAACCTCTTGCCTCAGAGCATTCTTGATTTTTTTTCAGAGATTACAATTCTGTGGAAAGAATCTATTTTCGAAATGCAGTATAAAGGAGGTGTGTGGGTCATGTAGGAAGAATGAGAACAGCTGAAAGAAGTATAGATTTCTCACAAAAATCACCTGCCTTCCCCCTTTTATGCATTTTTTTTAGCAGTAAACCCACATTAAGTATATTATACTCCCTGAAAGTGAGTGGCCCTTTTTTGTGGAAAGGGGCCAGTGAGACAGGCTACCAGAGCCCAGAAGTATATTCCTGGTATTTCCTTAGTGGGAAAGAAAAGGAAATGTCCAGAGAGATGAATGTATTGTTTTAGAAGTGTCAGTGACAACCCAGTAGCCCTTCTGCCTGTAATTGTAACCTGGCCACATCACAAAGCAGAGTGGAGACGAGAGCACAGTCTGCGGGGGAGACCGAGCAAGCTTTGGGCCCTGGTGGCAAAGCTGTAGGAGCAGGTGCTCATCCAGAGCTCAGCTGTGGTGCTGCGAGCAGTGGCATTACCTGTGTCAGGAAGGCCCCTCTGAACACAGGAATCAGTGACAGTCCTAAGCCCTGTGTGATACGCTTCACGAAGAGCAGACCCCTAACCTCAGCCCTTCCACAGTTGCTGTGATGTCAATTGAAATAGCGTTATCTCCCTCAGCTTCCTGTTCCCAACTGCCGTGTACCCTTCCTGGGTACTGTTCAACAATGCTTATGTGGCACTTTCCATAAATAGATTGTAAAGACCTGAGCAAAACCTTGGGACTGAAAGAAGCTCTGTGTGTAAAATTGTATTTATTTTCTGAATGCTGCCCACAGGTTTAAGTAAGCAGTGGAGAATGTTCTGCAAGGGTGATCAGAGTTGAATGTTTTGAGTTTGGGGGGGGGTTTCTTTGTTTGTTTTTGACAAGTGATGGAAATGTTCTAGGTATTCTTTATGCACTTAAAAAAAAAGAAAGAAAGAAAAAGAAAAGAAAGCTGTTTGGTTTTGTTCTCTAGTCCCTTCTTAGTTTGGGTACAGTTGCGAAGTGTAAGAAAAGTGTCTACGTAATAGGCTTCAGAAGACTTGACAGTCAGCCTTTTACATACGTTCATTCGGAGAGGGTGTTGTGAGCTATCCTTTGCATAAATTTTATCTTTGTGTTACGAAGATGAAAGTGCTCTTAATTAGCCATTGGGCAATTTGGAAGCTTGGTGCTATTTTTTTCATCAATGGCAATAATGCTTCTTACGGGCATGGGAGGAGGAAGAAAAGAAAACCACTGTTTGTTTTGACCAGAAGTCTACTTCAGACCAGTTTGACTCAAAGCACAGTAAGGTTAACAGACCATCCAGAAGCAGCACTAACAGGCAACGTTAAGTTCAAAAGGGCAGGGGAAGGAACTGGGGGCAGCCTGGAGGGTCTGTTGTGCTGGCTTCGGAGGTCGGTGCTCCGGCAGGAAGGGCAGAGCTCCATGAAGCAGGAGGCTGTGTCCGAAAAAATGATCCCATTGTCGTGTGCTGGGTTCTGATCTTCATTTTCAATCCTTTTTCCTCAAGCACATAAAGAAGCCAGACTATGTGACGACAGGCATTGTACCCGACTGGGGAGACAGCATAGAAGTTAAGAATGAAGATCAGATTCAAGGGCTTCGTCAGGCTTGTCAGCTGGCCCGTCATGTCCTCCTCCTGGCTGGGAAGAGTTTAAAGGTGGCGTCTCACCAAGCCTCAGAAGGGCTTACAGAAGGGGCAACAAACCCTCCTCTTTGCCTTCTTTCCATTTAACTCTTCTTTTGTATATATCTAATTTGTTAAAAACCAAGTAAAGCCTGGGATGGGGGAAAGGGATTTTATTATTTTATGTGTTTTTTTAAGAGGTAACTTAAAATCCAAATTCAGTTTTAAGTATCAGGATTCTAGAAATACTTTGGGCCCAGTCAGCCTGTCCAACTTGATCCAGGGCAGACAGCTCTGACTTCTGCCTCCTTATTCCTGCCTGTAGTTTCTGCTTTTATTCCCCACATTATTTCTGTGTGCCTGAAGAGTTGTTCTGCCTCATCCTTTGTTTCCTGTTTCTTGCATTAGCTCTGCAAAGAAAGATTAGAGCAGATAACACAAAGCTATAGGTAATATAAAAATGTAACTATGGACAACTATCTTACTACAAGATTTAGTTCTTCCAGAATAATCTGAGAAACACCCTGCTTTATAGGAATCCTTAAATATATATGGGCCTGTAGTTTCCAAAAGGTGGGCAGAATTTAAGAAGTGAGTCTCAGGAATGAAATCACTTAGGGTATCATTTGTGTAATAAAGTTGTTATAGCAACATAACTAAGCTTAATGTGAATATCAAATAACACAAAGAAATATTACAGAAATAGTTAATTTTTAATAAAAGATTTTGTTTTAGAATTTTATGACTTACGAGTTTATGGAGATATCTTCATGTACTCATAAAACTCAATTTTATTTTTGTTTTTTTTAGTTTGAGAGAGGATTTTTTTTAGTTTGAGTTTGAGAAAAAATACTCTCCAAAGTATTTTTTTTAAACAATGGATTTATTCAGGTATGAAAGAAATCAAGATTTGTGAAAACCAAATTTCTACGATAGGTATCAGACTGAATTTTTAAAATAATGATCCATAATCTCCCCACCATTGCTGCAAAGCCCATGTAAGATTTCTCTTAGATAAGAACGTGTGGGATGACCTACTTTTCAAGCTTTGTCATCGAAACTGAAGATACTTTTGAGAATGTATTTATATGCTTCAGCTAGCCTGAGGCACTAACCATTGAAGAAGAGGAAGGAATTGCCCAGGAAGCTTTGTGAAGTGTTCAGGTCCAAAGGAGTCATGTCATTGAATGACTCACGGATAATTTAAAGGATCTTAGAGTTTAAAGTCTCCATTTCCTAATAGCCCATAACACCATCCTATGCCCAGTTGTCCAAAAGGCACAATTAAAAATTTAATGTTAATCACCATTAATTAAACTGTTGTATCACAAGTTTATCACAGTAAATTTATATAATCTCATCAGAAAGTACTGTAGCTGTAGACATAGTCAATGAGTGCAGGAAATGACTTCAACAGTTGCTGCACAATTTCTTTATTTAATATTTTAGGTTGACATGACAACTGAAGAGATAGATGCTCTTGTCCATCAGGAAATCATCAGTCATGATGCTTATCCCTCACCTCTAGGCTACGGAGGTTTTCCAAAATCTGTTTGTACCTCTGTAAACAACGTGCTATGTCATGGTATTCCTGACAGGTATTCATTGCTTAATAACATATTGTTCCTTCGGAAACTAAAACATGAAACTAAGATCTATAACATATGTTGAAAGATACTAGTTTAATTGAAACCCACCTGTAAACTTTTGAAGCTGATTATGGTAAAACAAAAATTTTGAAGTATTTTGCCTCAACGGGACATAATTTAATGTTTGTTAAAGCAGTGTGTAATCCACACAAGTCATGGTTCATGAAATATTTCTTTTACCTTCTTAAGTTTTAACCATATAAATGGTAAAAATCCAAATGTAGGCAAATATAGATTATCAACTGTTGTTTTGGGTCTTTGCAAAATTAAGGAAACTAATAAGTACATTTTTTTAAAGACTGTTTTAAAGATTTTTAAACAATGGCAGTATGTTCCTATTATGTATGTCTTGTAAAATTTGATGTGACTAATGTAACTTAAAGATTAGATATAGTTATTCCATTTATTCCTCTTCCACTCCAAATTATCATTGTGACTCACTGGGTGTGTGATAGTCTTAGGTATTTATTTTTACATTCCTTTTATTGAGATCTGTCTATCACCATTTTTATTCTGTTTATGTTTCAGTCGACCTCTTCAGGATGGAGATATTATCAACATTGATGTCACGGTGAGTAAATAATATAAAAAAATAGTCTTTGATCAACTTCAGAATTGCTGGTAGCAACAGGAAGAATTGTGGATTGAAAATGTGAACTGCACCAAGGGAAGTGCTGTTTACTTCCAGACCCAGACGCAAGCAGCTGGTTTCCTTTTTTGTCTTTAACTCTGTGTTTATTCCAAGTAAACCCAGGCCTGACTTGAATTTAGGGCTGGAATCAGATGCACTGAGATCAATGTTGGCCTAAGTGAAATGTCAACCCAATCCTGCTATGTGTCATGTTTTTGAGAAGGTGTAATTGTTATTGATCCACTGTGTAGTTAATGCAGAGCACCACAGCACTGGGCAGCTGCTGAAGCTAGATATGTATGAGATGAGCTAACGCGAAGAAAGCCAGCATTTTTCCTTCACTCTGCCAAGATTGATCTTCCTCTTCCTGCTGATTTTGAGTGGGGCCTGTCATTATCTTACTCTGTCATTAGGGGCTACATTGGCCTGTGTGTGTCAGTCTATTTGGACAGCAACTCTTTTGCTAGCAGTGTTCCTTAGATTTATTAAAATCCCTGAAGGTAACGTCGTGTTCCATTTCTGGTATAGAGGGTGTAGAGAGCCTTGAACTTGGAACATACAAACAGAGTGGTTTTCTCACTGAACCTAAGTTTTTACCAAATGGTTAACAGCCTTTCTTTTAAATAACAACCCAAAGTGATTTCACATGGAAACTTAGAATTGTACAAGCTCTAACCTTTACTAATTCCCTCAGCCTCTCACTATTCTCAGACTTGGATGATTTGTGCCTTGGCAGTTCATTTTACTAAAAAATTTTGTAGCGGTTCCTTTGGATTATGTAGATTGGAGATAAATTCTATACATCTGATGATTAATAAATTATTTTTAAATGAATAAATAAAATTTAATCATCTGATGAGAACTTGTTGAGACAGACAACATTCAAGGAGTATAGCTTCTATTAATAAGGAAATATTTTTAATAATAGTTATTTGTCTATCCAGACCATGAAGACAGGTAAGTGTGGGAATGAGGTAGAAATTGGCATCCAACCGTTGGGTTTGGTCAAATTTTTAGTTGTTTAAATTAACTCACCCTCTTGTCTTCCTATCAGTTTGTATGATAATATAGTCAGGGATTCTTTTATTGCTGATACTTTTTCATATATCATTTTGTCCTACTTAGAATACTTGAACATTTGCTCCACATAGATTCAGTTGGTTTATCTTTCCAACTCAGAATCATGTAGAGGGAGATATTTTATGAAGTATACCTGAAATAAAGTATTTTTCATGATATACTTTTCTTTTGAATTGTAACTGATTTAGGGGTTTTACATTTATCATCTCACCTAATCACCCCCTAATAAAATATTGCTGCTTTGAATGAAGCCAGCACACTCTTTCCTGCTGCTTCCAGTTCATCCAAAGAGAATATTCCATGCCTTTTCTGTTTTCCTGAAGACTTTTAATAAACAATTCCAATTTTAACATTCAAATATTTCACAGTTGCAAAACTAATAAAGCAAAGTGAAATATTTCAGGTGTCTAGAAATATGGAGGAGTCAGGAAGCATACAGGTAGGTATCTTAACAAATTATATTTCTTTTTCTTTACCCTTCCCCACAAATTATATTTCTTATGAGATCTTTTATTAAGTGAAAGACTCCATTATTAGATCCTTATACTTTATTAGAAAATACTCATTATGTGTTTTATAATTGTTTACATGTAGTATATACATCACAGGAAAACAGGCGTCTTTCCCCCTTGAAAGTTGAATGTTAAAAAATAGACAATGAGATATCCAGAGTAGTTGCTCAATAAATATTTGTTTAATAAATGAAGTACAAAACAAGAATACTTTGTGAACACAAATCCTAATTATAGATAACTGCCACAGACTTTCAAAAGTATCGTTATTTCCATATATATTGAGTTTTCTAAGTAGTCATTTTGAAAGCTAGCCAAAAGAATTATACAAAGGCAAATAAAGATTTTAAAAAATATTTTTACTTAAATAACAGTTATAAAACACTGAGTTATACATTAAAAAAATTTTTTAATGTTTAGGGGCGCCTGGGTGGCTCAGTCGGTTAAACGTCCGACTTCGGCTCAGGTCATGATCTCACGGTCCGTGAGTTCGAGCCCCACGTCGGGCTCTGTGCTGACTGCTCAGAGCCTGGAGCCTGTTTCAGATTCTGTGTCTCCCTCTCTCTCTGCCCCTCCCCTGTTCACGCTCTGTCTCTCTCTGTCTCAAAAATAAAAACGTTAAAAAAAATTTAAAAAAAAAAAAATTTTTTTTTAATGTTTAGTTTTGAGAGAGAGAAACACAGAGTGCAAGCAGGGGAGGGGCAGAGAGAGAGGGAGCACAGAATCTGAGGTAGGCTGCAGCCTCTGAGCTGTCAGCACAGAGTCCGATGCAGGCTGATGCAGGGCTCGAACTCACGAACCGCGAGATCATGACCTGAGCCAAAGTCAGAGGCTTGACGGACTGAGCCACCCAGGTGCCCCTATGCATTTTGTAAAGTGATTATTACTCTTGTATTGGCAACTGTTATATATTTGTGTATAAAATCAAACTTGTGCTTTCTTGGATTGCAAATGGGAATAAATGTATAAAATTCTATTGCAAGGAGTTAAGGTCATTTGACATAGTAGAGAAAACATTTGATTAGAAGCCAATAACCCATCATATTAATCTGGATCTACCTCTGTATTCCACCACTAACCTGAGACAAGTTACTTGTGTATGCCTCAGTTTTCTAACTTAGAAACCGAAGACATAGTAAAGACTTTTCCTGCTTCCCTTACAGAGGATAATATTTTTTTAATGCAGAATAATATACAGATTTAAGATATTAAATCAGTATTAAAACAGTCAGGAAGCTCAGATAAACATCTTTTTTATAAGTTTCTGCATTCTACTTCATGAGAAAGAGAAATGTGAAAAATAATTACATAGGTCAAATTTATGCAAAATAGCAAATGCCATGCTATGTCTAAGGATCAGCTTTCAACCAGTCTCCTCTACCTTCTCTGTTTATTATAGTGTTTGTTATTATTGATTTTTATAACAAATCTGGTATTTTTCAAGATCCTATGGGGCCTTCTGAATCATTGACAACTGATAAAATTGTTTTTTCTGTAATTTTATCCTTAAGTCTATTTTGTTATCGTTTAATCCTTTAAAACCCATGTATAGTGTTTTCTGTTAACATTCTGCTATCTGGAACATTTGATTAAGGTTTCACTTCCAGATAGGACTTTTCCATAGCATATTTCATTCTCATATCAAGCCACTTCAATTCTTAGAACTAAATTCTCCTATGTCTAATACTGACAAGTCTATTTTATTTCTTCTTATCTATCACTTCCAAGTATAGAAATGGTAAATAAAAGATCATATATCTCCATGACACTGAAGAAACTTCTCACTATGTTAAATACTTCTGGGTTCTTTAGACCTATTATAGTAATTATGGGTCAGTGTCTTTGGTCAGTAAATTATGCATATGTAGTTTTGTCTTCTCAGAAACAAAATGAGGTATCAACATTTTAATAGCATTGCTAATCATAATGCTATTGAAATAGCCCTACCATTACATATTTATTTTTAAATTTTGTAATATTGTTGTATGGCTTCTTTTTTTAAAATTTCTGTGAGGCTTTAGCATGTCCCTTTTTTTTTTTTGGTAGGGAAACTTGAGAGTAATTCTGGAAGAGTGAAATATATGAATCTACTAAATGCATAGATGAGCACAATATATACTTTAATGAGTACATTTACAAACAAGAACACATTTTAAAATGTTTGCCTGTGTTTAGGTCTATTACAATGGCTACCATGGAGATACCTCTGAAACATTTTTGGTGGGCAATGTGGACGAATGTGGTAAAAAGTTAGTGGAGGTTGCCAGGAGGTGTAGAGATGAAGCAATTGCAGCTTGCAGAGCGGGGGCTCCCTTCTCTGTAATTGGAAACACAATCAGGTAAGCCTTACACTGACAAGTAAAGGGAGGGTTGGCAAATGGTACAAAGGTTATTGGTGGCTTGGTATAAAGTTGATGACATGTTTTATGATTCAGAACCATCATTTCAGTCTGATATCAGTATGTGGACTGCCAAGCTGCAGTGTTGTTCCCTGGGTTTAAAAAAAAAAAAAAAAGAAAGACTTTAAAACAGTGAATTATACTCAGGTCAGCGGGAAACTTATAAGAGCAGCAAGCAATATTTATACGACTGCTTTAGTTTTAGCTCGACATACTAGTCTGTAGTGTTCCTTTACTCAAAATCATACCAAATATGGAAAAAAGTACCTAAGGGGGTAAACATCCCAACTCTTGGGTAATGAAACAGGAGAAAAGCTAAATTTTATAAAGGAATGAGGTGAAACATATTCTTGTGATACAAAGGTAAAAAGCATTAGCTCGAGCAAGCCTTACCTTTCAAATCAGTGGATTACCAAACAGGCTAAAAGGGTAAGCTAATGTCCTTTTCTCGTCCGGTTCAGTTTTCCTGTACACCATTGTTTATTTTCCAAACGGTATTCTATGCGTGCTTTGTGAGTATATGTGTATTTTCTGAATTCAAGACTTTTCCCTATAATCTGTTACCTACGTTTAGATCTTTTTTCCCCCATAACTGTTTTGAAGTAGACATACGGAATATGTGTTTTCATCTAAAAGTAATACATTTTGTTAAAGATGATCACATCAATACCTTTTAAAGCACTGTTCTCATTAATATGAACCATTGAACACTTGCCGTTTGTCTAAAGGACGGAAGGCGTAGTCACCTTGAAAAGATGCTGCCTTTTTTCTTCGTAAGCCCTCAAATACTTTAAGAAAAAAGGCAATAAAATATCAGTTAAATGTATTTATGGCTTTAAAAATATTGTAACAATGTCTGAATCAAACTTTAGTAAAATCTCTTTGGGTTATATCTGAGAAGCTTTTATTGAAGACTTCGAGCAAAATTGTGTTTTTGACAGTTTTAAATTATAGGCTAACTAGCCTGGGAAAAAAGGATAGTGTCTCTCTGTTCTTTCATAGGAAATGTTGAATCAGACCCCTACTGGGAAAAGAAATTTAATGCATATCTCACTATCTTACTGTCCATGAATATAATAGAAATGAATTCAAAATGCAGTTTTATTTTTGCAAATGGGATGAGTCGATAGATGTATCTCATATTTTTGAACACCTAGGGTTCAACAAATTTACTGGTGGTGCTCTTGCATTTTAACAAAATTTATTCTTCAGTAGAAGGGGGCAGAGAACACTAGATTCTTATTCAAGCATTCTATCGAGCTCTGCATTCATGGCTGTGTCTAAAGGGCATGTCAGCCTTTGATTCTCTCTGAGAGGTAATTATCCTTTTCCTGTCACGGAACAACAAATGATAGCTAACTACAGAGGCACATTTGCAGTAGTCACATTCATCAACTGCAGAAAAAAAAATTCAATTTAATTGTGCAACACAGCTGCACATGGGCTTTTGAGCATTTCTGTTGTTCTCCCTGTCTCGCTATTCCTCCCTCCAGATCTATTTTTTAAACTTTTTTTCTGGTTATTTTTTCCCCTTTTTGTCTCTTCTTCCATTTTTACTCTCTGTACTTTCTTGTTAAAGTAATTTTCCTTTGTGGCTCTCATTCTTTTTTCCCCATTGAAGGCTATGAATGTAGAAAATTATCACAATTACTCATATAATTGAGCCTCTTTGTAGCAAGTGCAACTCCAGTAGCCTTTCTCCATCATGAAAATGGTTTCATTATAGGGTTTTTCATATTCTCTGACACCATCTACACAGAGGAACAGGCGTGCAGATGAGATGTGCTAGGAACAGGCTAGATCAGTAAGGTCACAGTAGGAATAATTAGCTCTGCTATGGAAAGAGCATCTAGGCCTTTTACTGCTACATAAATGTACTGTCCGTGGCTTTTAGTCACAAAAAAACTTACTAACAAATGGAGCTCCCGCCTACTACTTTGAAAAAAAGATTTGTATCAACACTACAATTTTCCATCATTAAGACTAATAACACAGAGCCTAGTATACATCAAGGGGAATAAAAAGAAAAATCTCACATTCAAGTGGCGGCTGGGTGCTGACCTTTGTTCCCTTTTTTTGTGTACGACTTAACTCTTTACAAAAAAGAGCCACACGCCACACCAACATGCAGGTGAACTCCAGCTAGTACTCGCAAAGCGTAGCATTCAGTCGGAAAATCTGATAAATCTCCATGCAGGATAATGCATTTCATTACATATTCACTACATTAATTCTAGCTACATAAAAAGAAGAAGAAGAAGAGGAAGAGTAGAATTGAAAGTGACATTGGATTTTAGCTATCTGGACGCAAAGGTCAGTTTTCGCAGAGGATGAATTTGCATGTACAAGCTCCTTTGAAAACCAGATCAGTCTCAACAACTACACTTACAAAAACTACGTGAAAAATAATAGACAATGAACTTTTTACTTTTACCCTGATACATTTCGTTGTTTAGATGGCTTGTGTCTGCCACTGGGGACTAACAAATGTTTGTTCTGGTGTGTTAAGGCAGTGTTTCTGGACCTCTATTATTTCGCCTTTTCTTATTCAGGCAGGATCTCAAGGGAGTAAATAAACAATCTCCACCTTTAAGCCAAAAGTACTTGGAATCATTACAGACCGAAGGTTTACAAGCATCTTTCAACCAGCCTTACTTATTTTAAGATATTTACCATCTTTCGCACAAATTCCTTCTCCTGATACACCATGAAAAGAACATGCAAGCATCTTTTATGAGTAGTACGTCACCAAAAGCCGAGTGATCTTTATGGGAAATTTTGAAATTCTCTGAAGCCTGTAAGGATGGGATGGTATCTCCGGAGAAACACTGGCTAAAATAGTTTAATGAGAAGAGTTCTCTCTGTGCCCTTGTGCTTCGTGAGGGATGGCTGTGATGTTTGGGCTACAGTGTTACCACACTCCCTGTACCTCCATTTGCTTCAAATCATTTCTAAATCCGTGTATTTGTAATTATCTCTAGATGATATGATCCGTGCATATGAGAATACTGTGAACGTGTAGATTCACGCATCCCAAACATGTGACAGTTCAATCAAAAATAATTTAAACTTACAGTTGTAAATGTCATGATCAAAGTATCAATAAATGGTTTTTAATGTTTAATTCATAAGTATATGTTTTGATATTAATTTAGAAGAATATAAAGCAGATTTTTAAAAATAATCTCTTTCTATTAGATTATGCACATTTAAACAATAAGTGGCTCAGGCAAAATAAGTCATTTTAATGTCATCCGTGATGGATTTTTCTTGACAGCTACTGTAAATTACAATTACACTGCTTCCCTCTGCACACGAAAGTAAGCACTGCAATAAATTATCTTTTATTTCAACCCATCATGTCTGCTTTTCGGAAACAGAAAACCTCAAATAAAAGTTCAGCACTATTGTAAGAAAAATACAGTAATTTGTGATCCAGCTTGAGACATAAACGTGTACCGTTCTTTTGGAAAACGGTTGTTGGCTTTCAAAAATATTACTAATTGTACTTAAACATTACTTGTCATTAGAGGGAATCCTTGGACTTGTGCATTCCTTCATTCAAAGCTGACTGCTTAAAATAAAAATCTGGAAAGACTGAAGTAAAATTCTGTAACTTGGAAGATCAGGTGCCATTTAATCAGAGATACGACTGTTTGGAAATTGGTGCTGTTTATAGGATTCACGTAGAAATGGTGATAAAACTATTTCCGTGTGCGTTTTTATTTCTTTAGAAGAGCATGCACTTAAATATAGTACTCCTCTGCCCTCTTGGCGAATGTATCCTTAGTCATAAAATGTAGCTGAAATGTATTAAGAGTTTTAATTTCTCCAGACAATACTTCAATTGAGGAAAACTACCTCACGAAAGGGAATTAAACTGAAGAAAACAGTCACAAGATGAAATTCCTTAAGAGAGATTTCTCTTTCAACTATAAACTGTAACTGAAACATGAACTATAATAATAGTATAATTTGAAAGTAAGTTCATAGACTATGTTTATACACTTCCTTCTTCCTTCCCCCTCTTCTCTCACCCCAAATAGTCCCTATGAAGGACTTCAAGTCATAAACGTGCTCAGGCTCATAGGTAAACGTACTGCCTGAGAGGATTTCTAGTGAGGGAAAATCAGAACAAAACAGCTAATGCCAGGAGAATTCTTTTCAGTAGATTTCAGCAGAAAGAAGGCAGATCTCATGAGTGGAATGTCCAGGACAAGAAGACCCTTGTGCTCAGAAATGGTCAAGGCCCTGTAATGGCTGGTGTTGGGGCGCCACGGAGGCATTTCTTGGGCACCCCTGCCCGTCCAGCTGTTTCCATTTTCCTCACCACACCAGTTAAGAGAAGCACACATGCTCCACCTTCCCATGCCACAGTCAGGGTTACCACTACTCGCTTTCCTGTTAGAGCGGGACCTGCTATTACAGGTCCCTTGGATTATCTCCATGAAATTAGATTTGGACCCTAGAATCAGGTAGATAATCTTGTGTTTCCCATATATTCCAAAGTAGTAGAAGGAGCATTATTTTAAGTAGTAATTAGGGACATTAATGAGATTTAATGGCATTTAGTCCCAGTAAGTATGTGTTGAAAAGCTCACTACAAATCCAAAAGGAAAATACCCTGAAAAAGCAGATAGAAGTATATACTTAGCTTCTGGGAATCAAGCATTGAGATGGGTGCTTAGCCAAGGAGCTGAGTGAAATTTGTCCGGTTCTTTTCTTCTTTCCACCCGGCTGTGAAATCCTGACCTTTGTGTTCATGACACATACATTCTATGATACTCCTATGACCATAAGTTCCAGCAGGATCCAGGCAGCAAATTGTTGTAGGAGAATGCACTCAAATATCTTTAGCCACCTTGTAATTGCCCAGATTTTTTTTATGAAGAGGAATGAGAGGGATGATGGCAGAGGGAACCCAAGTGTTTTTTCAGAGTGGGTTTTCTTCTTCTCCTTTCATCAGAAATTAAAACGAAGATTGCCATTGTAACACACATTTAAGATGTAGCCGTGATGCCTACCAATCAGTTAGATCCCAGGGTTTTTTTTTAGGGTTTTGTTTTGTTTTGTTTAGAAAATAAAATAGAACAGTTTACATTGACTGTTCTTAGAATCATTGAGGTCTGTTGGGATTGAAGTCACATAATTTACAGGTTTAAGTAGAACCCATTCTTGTAAAAAAAAAAAAAAAAAGTCTTGATCAGTATTGTCTTGTCTCAGTCTCTCTTCCACCCTCTATCCACTCCTCAGTTTTTATTCAGAAATTGTGTGGTACAAATGGAAACACCTTGGAAAAGTTTTTGTACCTCCTGCCCAAAGAGCAAAAGCACATAGAAATAACTATAACCATAAGGTACAACTTTAAGAGATAAAAATGTTGACTTATTATTCCTGTTGTCAACACATGCTTAGCTTACCTATTTCTGCACTATCGGTTACATGGAAATTAATTCTGAATGAGAGGCTGTCCACCTGCTATTTGTAGTGACATCCTGGTCCAAGGGAAGATATCTTACAGGTCTGGAGATGCAACTTAAACGTATTCAGTGATAACTATTGACATGAATGCTCATAGAGATGCTGCCTTTGAGTTCATGTTAAATTGAACCTAGGGTCTGTTGGAAACTCTAGTTTGAGATCTGAAAACTTTGATTTTGGTAAAAATTTAAATAGGAGTCCTATAAATCCTGATTTATTGTTATGGTTAGGGTTAGGGCACTGTGCCCCTTATCCATGTGGAAATATAAATTGTTAATGGTATATATGTTCTTATCTTTGTGGTACTCCTAGAAATGAATATGTTCACCTGATTTCAAAAACAACTTCTTAACTTTATAGGTGAAGATTTTAGGGTTGGATTCTATTTGCCACATTTCATTTATATGGAATAGATGGAACCCAGTACATTTGCATGTAGAAATAACTAATAAAGCGTTAAGAATTAGGAATCACAATACTAGCTTCTCTTAAGCATCACAGTGATTAAAAAACATTCTGTGTGAATTTTGTTAATGATACAGGTCTTGCATGGAAATCCCAATGAGCACAAAGTTTTGGAGTATTTTAAGAATGTTGACAAAGCAGATTTGACCTTTTGTATGAGTGTTTCTGTTTCTAAGATGTATAATGTTTTGAAATAGGCCAAAACAAGGGAACTATAAAAGTAGGAAGTCACATTTCTAGATTGCATTTTTGTTTCTCTGTTTGGTTCTCAAATTAGTATTAATTTGCACAGTCTTTGGCGAAACCTCATACAAACAAGGCAAGTTTTTATTCCCTGCATTCTATACACATGTATTTTGGTTATGTATATCGATCTATATATGAGATAACACTCATTTGTTATCTAAAAGTGGCCTTGTTTGAATGCTGTACTAAGGTAAATGAAACAAACTACTATGTTAGATACATACCTTTTTTCTTAATTTATCCAAAGGGAGTCATTACATGCAATGGCAACAATTTTAATTATTCCAGAATAATGAAAACAGTAATATTATCATCTGACTCTAAATATAACTGATTTTTTCTCTTTCAGGGGCTATTTTAAAGTGACTTTAAGTATGCATTAAAAACTTACCTAATTTAATTAAATATTTTGTTTGGTCACTTTTAAAGCCACATAACTCATCAGAATGGTTTGCAAGTCTGCCCACATTTTGTGGGACATGGGATAGGATCTTACTTTCATGGACATCCAGAAATTTGGCATCATGGTAAGAAAGTGATTGAATGGAATCTGGAAAAGGCAGTTTTGTTCCTGAGGCTCCTCTAACTTTGAATGCCTATTATCATCCTTTGGTGTGTATGCATGTGTATGTGTAGTGGTGGGGGGGTTTACTTAATTGTAACCAGCACATTACAATGTTATTGGATTAGAGCCCAGCAGTTTTCAGTCTCAAAGAAAGGTTTATTTTGCTTTTTGTCTTCCCACAAAAGGTGATGGCTAGAAGGCACAAGGGATATTTGCCTAGAAAGTTACTGAAAACAAAATGCCACTGCATCAATGTCCCAGCAGCATGCACATACGACTGTTTTCTGTTTTTCTTTTCCTACCCCCTTCTCTAACTGCTGACTGTTGTGGTTAAACTTCATTACATCCTACACAGCGTTGACAGCTGATCTATTTAGCAGCATGTACTCTTTAGTGATTTCTAGATTATACCCACCCTTGTGTTCCTTCCCCAGAGCCTCCTCTTTTCACTGCCTGGGTGTGCACCCTACAGTGAGAACGCAAGGGTGGGCCAGAGCAGTGGGAGGATTTGGGTGTGGGTAGGAGGCGGTTCTATAGAGTGGCCCCCAGGGGAGCTGCACACCTGGACAGGGCCCAAAGGAAAGTTGGGCCTTGACCTGTGTGCTTGGGGTGGGAGCAGTCCCTGGAGGGAATACCGCCTGGAACCCATTACCCGGAAGATCTCCGTAGACCCAGCAGGTCAGAATTCCTTTTGCACCAGAGAGTCCTTCCTCCCCCCCCCCCCCCCCCCCCACCCCAGGCAGCTCAGAGGAGGTCCGGGCAGGAGTGCAGACGGAGCATCTCAGGCGTGTACCCCACCCTGCCCCAACACTTGGAGTTATTGCAGGGTTACCCGCCCTGTCCTAGCCTCCTGCTCCAATCTGCACACTAAGTGGCTGCCTTCCCTTCGTATCAGTTCCCCAAGGTATCTTCCTCTTTGGGGTAGGAGGGCAGGGCCTAGGACCCAGTGAAACCAGGAGACCTTGAAGCAAGTGGCCAGGGGACAGTGGAGGGGGGAACGCAACAGGTGTCTGGAACACCCAGGCTGCCTCTGCTAGGCCTTGGTGCACCCTTCCCAGGGGTCTTGACCCCCAGCAAAGAAAATGTAGAGGCTAAGGCCCAGAACCCCTGTGTTTAACCCCTTGGCAGTAGCCACTACCAGGATTCTAGATCTCTCCATCCTTCCTTCTACCCTAAAAGAAAGTAAAATGACCAAGGTTTTTGAGCAGTCCTGTCCTTCTAATTCTGTTTCTCTTTCTCTCCATTTCCCACTCCCCCTACTCCATATATTTTGTTTTGCAGCGAATGACAGCGATCTACTCATGGAGGAGGGAATGGCGTTCACCATAGGTCAGTGCCCAAGTTCCCCTTTAGAGAGCGGTGGCTCCTGGGTGGAGGCAGCAGCGCTGGCCTAGGCCAGGCAGTCCCGTGAAGGAATAATAAAGCCAATCAGTGTAATGAAATAATTCAGATGCATAGCAAATCTGATTAAATAATATCCTCGAGTCCCATCTTCCTAAATCAGATACTTACCGACACATTTAGGAGACGGCAGCCGTCCAACCTCTAATTTTGTTACCAGCATAATGTGGTGTTTGGTTTTTTGTCTTGTTTTGGTTTTGTTTTGGTGGTTTTTTTTTTTTTGTTTTTTGGTTTTTTTTGGTTTTGGGGTTTTGTTTTGTTTTTTTCATTAACACCCAGTGACTAGAAGTGATTATGTCCCTTGCTCTCTGTCAGCAAGTGGTATGTCCTTTCTGGCTGCCCATTCCTGGCTGATCATGTGGTTGGTGTCACCACCAAATTCCAGTCACCTCAGACCTCAGAGGCATCATCTTTCTGACTGTGGTACTTAATGGAGAAGCAATTAGAGTGAAATAAGAAAATTGTTATTTGCTGATTAATGAACATTTTGAGCATGTTTTAAAAATTCAAATATTTTTAAAAACTGACTGGTATTTATAAGAGGGACTGGTGTTTGGGTGGTTATTATCCACAGGGTCCTAATTAAGGCTTGATTAAAATGCCCTTTTTTCTAAAAAAAAATTACGAACTAGGCAACTTCATACATTTTTTAATGCGGTGGTGTTTCCTCTTCCTACTGTTTAGTTTGTAGTATACTATGTAAGCAACATCAATTATCAGCCCTTGCGAGGTGACAACATGAACCCGTGGGGGAAGCGCTTGCGGGGAGGGGAGGAGAACCATCTTATTCTCTTTTTTCATAATCAGCCGAAACAGAAACAATATTTGACAAGAATCTGATTAGATCACTGCAGTAAATATTTTCCCTCTTACAGAGCCAATCATCACCGAGGGATCCCCCGAATTTAAAGTCCTGGAGGATGCATGGACTGTGGTCTCCCTGGACAATCAAAGGTGTTTGCTTTCTGTGCCATTGGCTTTGAATTCTATGGGAAGGGAAGCTTCGATCAACGGCCCTGGCCCTGGCGGGCTGCTGCTCCTCGCCCCCGTACCCCGACCCCACAGCTAGGGGTGTCGCTCTTTCCCATGGCTGCTGTGTGTGTTTCAGGTCCGCCCAGTTCGAGCACACCGTTCTCATCACGTCGGGGGGCGTGGAGATCCTGACCAAACTGCCCCACGAGGCCTGAGGAGCCACCTGAAGGTCACAGAGGCCAGGAGGTTTTTATCCTAAATTGTTGAAATCTAGCTGGAGAACTTTTAAAAGACACAGGCGAACGGCAGTTCACGCAGTAACCAACCTAGCATTTACTCTTGGAAAAACCCGGTGGGGTTTGGGGGCAGCTGGGAACTCAGATCTCAAGCCCTGCCTTGGCCTGAGCGGCTTCAGAGGGATGGATCCTGGAGCCGGCTCGGCTTCCCAACGCTCCGCACTTCCCAACGCAGGGAAAAGATTCTGGAGGGGAATGGGGACGCCCTCGGTTGGAAGAGGAGGGATTTCTAGAGATGCATGGTTTTCGCTTTGCCTTGTCTTGACTCTGACCAAGTAAAAAGCTTTTCCTTCTTAACCATTGTGTCTGTGCTCCTTGCATCTCTGACAGTTACTAGGGGGAGAGAGTGGGTGGTTAATTTTTGAATCTCTAAACTTTTCACATGTGCATGTAAGGAGGGAAAAATGAGCCTAGATGTTAGCTGGTAATTTTTTTAAAGTCTCTTTTTTCTGCCTTGTGGATCC